GCTCTCTTCTGCCTCCAATGCTGCCTGTTAACACCCTGCATTTGCAGAAACAGTTCTGTCAGCTCGTGCAGGGCACCCTTGCCTGGGACTTGCTTTTTTTGAGCTTTAGTGCCACTGCTGTCATCCAGCTTCTGGAGAGCTGGGGGTGAGGAGCAGGGTTTTGCACGGGCAGAATCTTATGGCTGTGGGTAGTTATGATTGCAGGGTAAGGGACAGACCTGCTCTCTATGTAGGCTTAGCGGCTGAAGCTTCTAATTTTCTCTAGTTGGCTTTGTTTACTCAGCAGAAGACCTTACAGGAGCTTTCCTGCTGCTGCAGGGATCTCGGAGACGGGTGATGCCACAGGCAGGGTGCAAGCAAGGAATGCTGGGTCTCATGCACAAAGCTGTCTTGAGTAATCTTTCCTCTTGTCCAAAAGAGACAGTGCTGTACTCCCTCTTCCTGCATGTGTGATGCACTCTAATGGCAAGAGTCAGCCTGCCACTCTAACATCTCTAACCTCCTACACAAAGCGAGCAGCTCCGAGGATGGGTGCTGTGGGTTTGGAGAGGCTTCTGTGGTTTTAGGAGAATGCTGTGCATGGCAGGCTCCTTTTTCTTTTCTCTTGTACTGGTGACATGTCATCTTTGCTTCAGTGGCGAGTTTCTGGATGCCATGCTTTAAAATAGAGATGTAGACAAATTGGCAAAAGGCCAGAGGAGAGCAGGACTAATTGTCAGAAGCTTTAGAAAGCATGACCTCTGAGGAAAGGCTGAAGAAATCAGGTGCATTCAATCTAAGTGAGACGGTATTGGCTGGGGAGAGAGGGATGTCATAGTTTCTTGGTACATAAAAGCTGTTGTTAAGGAAGGATGATTATTTTTTTACTATCATTGGAGGCAAATGATGAGACGAAACTACATTTACACTGCAGAGAAGGTTCAGTTTGGATTTTCAGGAAAAGCCTTCAATGTAGGCAAATGCAGGAAGGGATTGTCCAGGGGAGCTGTGGAATTTCTGAGACTGGTGGTTTAAAGAAACTCAGGTCTGCTTCCACAAAATATAGGGGCTGTTTTACCCCCTACAATCCCCATTAGTATCTTTGTTCCTGCAGTTGAGGCTAAAGGGCAAGTTTGAGGCTGATGCCTGTCCCTTAGCAAGCCTTGCCTCTGCCAGCATTGCCAAGTTCACGTAGTTAGAAATGCAGGAACCAGACTCCTCAAAGCATTGGCTGTAGTTCATAAAAATGGTGGATGATAAGGTCAGCTCTGTTTCTCTGGCCACTGCTTTTGAGTATTTCTGGCTGTGTCTGTATTGCAGTTGGAGATCTGATGGTAGAGAAACCCCTGCTTGCTCTAGTAGAAGTTTCTTGGGTAGGAGTGAGGTGAGGGCACCTTGGACCATAGTACAGGGCTGTTGCCCAATTAAGTATCCACTCTCTGGAGACCTATTATACTGAATTTTGTGATACTGTCTTCACTGCTCTCTGCAGTTGAGGTAGTAGGCTGAGATCTGAAAGAGATGTCCTGATCCAGGCTGCCATCAGCTCTGGCTGTAGTTCAGGCAGACTCAGGCTTGGAAACCCAACCTTTCCTCTGCAGTCGTGCTGTAGGAATTACTTCTGTAGCAACATGACTCTAAGTTCTGGGGCTTTTAAACATTACAAAATAAAATGTGAAAGTAATAACTGGTTGCTGTGAAAATATTGCAGATTAGCACAACCTGTTCTCTACCTTGACTGTTTTAATATTTGACAAGTATCACTTGCAGAAAAAAGACAGGCTTTATTATAACTCTTTTGTCTGCTTCCCTTCCAACTTCCAAAATACATTTTTCACAGGCATCAAACCACTTTCAGGACAAAATGCTGGTGATTTATCCAGTGGTGGTGAGAAATGGGAATGTGTGAGAGTGCTGTTCACTGGTGAAAGTGACAGTATTTCTCACACTCCCTCACTCATGACCTTGCCTACAAACCTTTTCTAGGCATAACTTTTTTCTTTAAAGGGAGAAGCTCTGTTTTTTTGCACCCCTTGGCAAGGCACAGATAAAAACATGGACCTTTAATGGCATGCTTCTTTTGCCTTGTCTCAGATCCACAAATGCAGAGTTTTGCCTTTTTGGACAAATTTACAGATGACGTTATCCCATATTTTAAATACTCTACTTTTGTATCGCTCTTGCCTGAAGCTATTAACATTGGCAGAATTGATGTTCTTTGTTTATTTTGTGTACTGCTTGCAGCCCGAATGTTGAACACCAGCCGGTCTCGTTTTTTGTTGAGCTGCAGTAAGAGGTAGGGCAGGCTTTTTCTGTTGGCTGTACACATGCTCCTGCATCTGTGTCCAGAGGAGACTGTGAACCATTCTTCACATCAGGGATGGAGAAGGTGAAATGGCTTCCCTGTGACAAAGCTAAGAGTAGGTCCAGTAAAGGCAAGACTAAGCATACCTTCTTCTTTGGAGTGTTTGTGTGACAATCACACATTTCTGTCTGTGGGTTGATGTGCACACACCCCAGGGGTTGCAAGCAGGCAGTTCCTCCTACTTGCCATGAGAGGTGGGGTGTAGAGGCCTTGGCAGTTCCCAGAGAGGCCAAGAGGAACACTGCTGACTGTGCACAGGAGCTGGGTGCACCCGAGTCCAGGCTGATGGGGAGCAGCATGGGTGATCTCCACTCTGGCGTTCATCTTGGATCTAGGAATGGGGAGGTCTGGATCTTATCCACAGCTCTGACACTGAGTCACTGCATGACCTCAGGCACTCAGATACCATGGTGATGAACACAGCAGAAACGTCTAGACAGATAGATTAGATTGGATAGATTCTACAACTGACAAATATTTGTATATCCCCATTGTCAGTGCTCTCCTGCTATAACCACCCAGCCTGATGGTTTCAGTGGGTGTCCTACACAGTGGGAGGGGAAGAACCACTTTTTGCACTGAGGAAGAAGTGGACACAAGCACAGTGATGTGCATACTGGGGGTCACAGACTTGAAGCAAAGCAGGCAGTGGGGCAACCCTTGGAGGAGGAAAAAGTGTAGCAGAAAGGCTCAGGAGTTGGGAGCTGGCTTCTCCTCAGCATTTTTGCAGCCCCATGCGTGGTCTCATCTCTCCTCCTATAACCAACCAATATGGAATATCCTCAGGGCAGTGATGACTTCCTCCTCCTGCTACGGCTGCTATCACTAGGCCCTGATTTCAGACAAAAGGCAAACTACCAAAGGGAGACTTAAAAGCTTTCCTGTGCCACTGTGAGCCTCTGGTGCAAGGGAGCATGCAGGAGAATTGGCTCTCCCTGAAGTGAATTTTGTTTATTTTCCCACCTGGTTCCCTTGTAAAAGATGAACAGAGCAGTACAGCAAAGATGTGGCTAGGAACGTGCACATGTAGGGATTTTCAGAGGCTCTGCAATCATCCCTGCCTCCGGTACCTGACAGGGACCCGGGAGTGCTGGAGAACAGTTCTGCCTCTTTAAGGAGATTTTTGTACCAGGGCCTAATTACAGTTGTTGATTCTGATGGTTTTGGTGTTGTTCATATTCCATTAAAGGCTAATGCTGCTTAATTTGCAGCAGAGGGTCTTGGTTAACAGTACACCAAATCACAAGGCAGCCCTAATGACACTACTTCCCTACTTCTGGTAACACATAATTAAAAAATCACTTAATTTCCAGTTGTGTGGTTCTGCCCTTTCCCCCTATCTTCTAACTACTTTCTGAGCCATTTCATGATTCTCTGTAAATATTTCAGCACTTAGATCTACTAATAGTTCATGGAAGAGTTAATACCTTGAGTGGCATAACTGCTTGCCATGCCCTTTCTAGTACTGCATTGCAAGGAATCATTTTCCACCTTTCACATGTGAGAATAGAGGCTTTGCTTGTGGTGGGATTGTGTTTGTGCTCTGGCTTTGTGGCTGTGGGGCCACAGGAGATGGGTACTAGTCAGAAACCCTGTCTCAGGCTATAGGAGTTTTTTTTGCTGGTTTTGGTAGTAGATGTCTCTCTTTCAGCAAATGGTTTTATGTGGCTTAAGTCCTACTGAAAGGACTGTTTTGTCAGCTGGCTGTGAGACCTGCTTGTCAGGCGAGCTTAGGTAGAGCTGAGTATGAATCTGGATCTAGTGCGAATGCTCACATAGCTGGGAGAGTTGGCTGGTTTCTGCCCTGACTCTACAGGTTTGTGGGAAGTGGTAACACAGCTCTTGCTGCACTTGGGCCAGAGAGGGCAACAGATCTGTCTCTGGCTGCCCTTGTGTGGTGTTTCTCCGCAAGCTCCTCTTGCAGGCCACAGTCAGTGGCACTTTCTGCGGCATGAGGGTAGCTTGGTCACTGGGTAAAGGAATATCTGAACTTCACAGCAAATCCATGCACAGATGTCTACCACAGCTCCGGGGCTGCAGGCAACAAGATGTGGGGTGACATGTGCCCTGATGCCCATGGTAAAATGGGGAATCTGTTCATTAATCCGAGTGCTGCTCTGCTCTGAAAAGCTACTATACAAATGCTGCTTTCTCATTTCATAGATCTGGTTCCTGTACTTGTCTGGTATCTTGGGTATTAAAATTCTCTTGGGGTTTTCAGACTGAGCACTCAGAGCTGAGTGTGATGATGGAGGAGTAAGCTGGAATATCTTTCCTGCCCGTTTGTTGCATGGGCTTGACTGCTATGTTCTTTGTATGGTCAATCAGTAACACCTTATGGAAGCCCACTGGGAGCCTACTGATGGTCTCTGAAGACATTATTTGGAATAGCCAGAGATAATTGTATAACTAGGGGGTAATTAACTTCCAGGAATTAAAGAATCAAGCTTAGGCTGCACTGCTCCTAGGAGTGAGTCTGTAAGGCTGGGAGTTAAAGAAATCAGCTCTTCTCTAATCATTTGAGCGTATGTGACTTGCTACTTGGGGAATGTGAGGCTGCTTCAAATCATATCTGTGTATTTCTAGGCAATTCTCTAATAGCAGTTAAGGGATGAGGACTTGAATGTGGTCCTAACCCAGTCAATTTGTGTTTCAGGTAACCCTGTCACAGTGGGAATGAGCATCCATATCTCCAGCATTGACCAGATCTCTGAAGTCAACATGGTAAGTTTGGAAAGAAAACAACAGCAAAAAAAACCCCAACAACTAATAAACTCTCATTCCATTTTCTGGTTGAAGTGTTCTTCCAAGACAATGGCTTCTTGGAGCCACCTGAGATCTCAGGGTGCACTTCTGGAAAGCAAGGTAGTTACATCCCTGCTTCCTTCACCTCCTCCTACAGTTCTTTCCTGCAGCTGGGAAGTTGTTGGAAGAAGAGTGACATCTTTCTGGTATTTAAGAAAGATTTTTTTTCCTTCTACTTTGAACACAGAATTTTGAGGGGTGATGAGAACTCTTCCCCATTAGAGCATAAGGTATTCAAGGATGATTTCTCCACATGTAGTGTGGTGAAAAAGAAAAACACTTAACTGGGCCACAGGAGATGAGGGTTTTTTTTCCAAATGTCTTTATTAGCATACTGATTTCAGTTTGAACCTTGCTTCCTCCACCCACTGCATGGCCTGTGTTACTGGGACTGCCTGGCAGTTGCCCACACAGCCTCAGCCCAGCCTCAGCCTGAAACAACCCTGAACTCACTGAAACAATGCTTGCAAGGCATGCCTGGCATGTGGGACCTCTGTGGTACACACCTACCCCTGCTGGTGGTACTTCTGACATGGTTGGACATGCTGAAAGACTAGTTCACTTCCTAATGTGGGATAAATTCTAGTAGGTGTCTGTGCTGGCACACTGAACTATGGCTGGTGTTACCTGTGAGCAAGTGGACACTGGATCTCTGATGGCATCTCGGAAGCAAGTGGCATCTTATTCAGAGTATATTCTCATCCCTCACACTTCTGTGCTGGTTGCACAGACACCTCTCCGAGCCATTGCTGCCTATTCCTTAAAGGAGCAGATGTGAACTTTATTTTGCAGCTGATGTGAAGGCAGTGGTGGTTTTACAGTCAGCCCCTGCACGCCAAGTGGAAAAACAGGCAGTGGCTTTTCATGTTTGTTGGTGGTAACCTGGCATTTCTTTGGAAATCTATAGTGGAAAAGGAGGCATCTAATGGAAATCTGCTTTTGGATGGCATTGATAGATTGGAGCTTTTCATACCACTGGCAAGAAAAAATTATCTTTTCAGATAGCAAAGATCTGGTGTGAAACATTTTAGGTTTGGTCATGGTTTGGGTACACAACCAGGCCTGTGCTCTCTATCTTTCAGAAGCCTTTAGCACCCAGCAGAGGACATGGATTGTGATCATCATTGCTTAAACTTGCCCTCCTCTCCCCTGCCCAGAGGCTTTTCCAACAAACTTTTCTTCTTTCCAAGAGGCTGAATGGAGTGGAAGACACCTGACCTCCTGTCAGCAGCTGTCCTGTTCATCCATTCCTGACCCATGCAGGAGAATCCTAGGCCAGTTTAGAGCTCGTGCTGTTCAAGTCAATTAAAACCTTGGTCTCCCAATGCTCCTGTCCTATTTATCTGTTTCTGGACTCTCTTGCCCTGGTTCTCTGGCCCACCATCTATTCTGCTGTTGTATGGCAGGGAGGAGGGGAGATGAGACGATCTGACGAGTCATTTTGGTTGCCAAACTGCTTGAAAATCCTGAATGCATATGTCAGTACAAACCAGGGAGAAGGGCCAACCATGAACCTTCAGGTTCTCATATGGAACATTCTTTTGCAGATTCTCTGCTGTCATCCCAGCATTACCCTAATTATGTGCATGGCATGTTACACCAGTAACAGTGACACTGGGTGGTGTGTACAGTCAGAAATTCAGGTATAGCCCTATGTCCCCATTGCATTGGGTAGCTGTGCTTGAGATTGGGCTCAGCTTAGAAGAACCAGATGGCTTAACCTAGTTCCATCTATCTTGCCTGTCAGGGCAGAGCTCAACATTGAGTCATCTCTTCCCCCAGTCTCAAATTGGACCTGAATTTTCCTACATGGTGAACCAGCTGTCAGACGTATTGCTAGTGCCAGCATGAACAATTTGGGGTTTGGACCTATAGCTTAAGACCTCAGCTTGTGTAAACGTAACTGGGAGGGAGCGAAGGGTTTGATTCTCAGCTTACCTGTGACAACTGCCCTGATCTTCCTCTGTGGACTGGAGAAACTAGCTGAATGTGCAGAGGCTGGTTCAGGATGAACCTTCTGGAGATGTGTCCATGAACTATAAAGGCTGATCAAGTGTTTTGTCATGCACCTGTTGTGAGGAGCTGCAGGATACCTGGGGTGCATGGGAGAGCATGTTTTCTGGCATGGACCTTCATCAACATGCTGCTCTGGATCTTGCAGAATTCAGGTAGTGCTATTGGTGGACATGAAGTGTTTTGACAGTTGTGGCATGGCTGCAGTCAGACTGGGCATAAGGCACTGTCCATGAAACAATCCTGTTGATACTGTGAAGCTGCACTTCTGCCCTTTTGACTATCCTTCCTGGCTCTTTGTTTGCCAAGCATGATCACCTGCCCATCCTTCTTACATATGTTGGGGTGGGGGTGGAATGGAGGACAAAGTGACTATATGTGAGAACATACTCAAGATCAAGATCTGTAAGCAACATGATGAAGCAGCTTTGAAAAGGGGTTAAAAAATCAGAATCATCTTAAAGAACAACCATTTAGGGAGCAGAAGAGTTATCATGTGATGTAAGTTTCCAGGCTGAAGGGATTTTATGTGCATCATTCTTCTGTGTGACAGATGCCTCAGGGAAAGGGCTGTGTCTTACCCCTGCTCTGGACATGGATACTGGCAAGAAAAACAAGGCATTTTTTTGGCATCATGTGTGCTTGGGAAAGGGACTGTGCAATGAATAAATTAAAGGCACACAAGTGAAGCTGGGTTGTCATGGCAACCAAATAGCTTCTATTGTTCCACAAGGAGTGTTATTACTTACTGCCCCTTCTAGGATTAATTAATTAATCCTCAGACATCCTTTGGGAACAATGGCCCTGGTACTGGGGCTGGGCAGGTGAAGGAGAGCCCCCAGCTCTTCCCTGCTTTTCCCTGGGACTGTTGGCGTCTGCTGGCTGTGATGGTGGGGAGCAAGTCCTGTTAGTGACTGGCTGTTGCATGATTCAAAACGTTGTTTTCCACAGGAGTCCAGCTGGATGCGGTACTGTGGAGGAATACAGCTCCACCCATGATCTAAGGAACACTCCTTGCCTTTACTCCCATGGGAACTGTTTACCCAAAATGATGATGTGGTGACATTTAAAGACTGGAGGATACAGGGCTCTCGGCAAAGGCAACATCGTTAAAGTCCTTATGCTGGAAGTTCCCAGACACTCTGATGTGTGGAATGCTTTGCAGTTGCCTGTACATGCTATGTGTTTCCTGGGGCTTCACTATATAAAGTTTATGCACCTCCGCTTCCTCATGCCAGGATAGAGGATGTTCATAGGCACAGTGCTGCCAGAACTCCCAGGGATGAGGGACAAAAACTACAGTCCTTATTTTGATAAAAAATGGCACCTTCTTGTCCATCGCAGCTGCTGCCTGTGTGGGGTCAGCCATATTTTCAAGCTCACTTGCTGGAGTAGTGGTTTATTTCTGTCTACTCCTCTTAGCCCTGCTAAGCAATGCTGAGCTGCAGCCTCTGCTCTTGTCAGTGATTAGAAGGATTATTTGTTGAGCCAAGATCAGTGACATCAATTGAAATGCCTGGGAAAGGATGCCAGGGGCCAGGCCAAATAGGTATTGGGGAGAGCACATTTGACTGGCAGACCCTCTGGGAAATGCTGAGCCAAGAAGATGAAAGGCATAGCTGGAGTCTTCTCATAGGCTGTACAAATTTACAGGTTGAGGATATAAAGGCAGACTGAAAGGTGGAACATCTTCATAATGATGTTCAGTAGCTGAGGTGATCAGCAAAGAATGGAAGGATGGTATCTCCTCATTCTCCTTAAAGGAAAGGGACTGGATAAGTTATTTGGTAAATGTCATTTTGTTACGGGTGTTTGAACTGGAGTAAACATGGAAAAACATGCAGGTATTTATAGAAGTTTGTTGGTGTGTAGTGGTACTTGGACAGCGTTATGTTGAGACCTGAATGGTCTTGGTAGCCAAGTTACTGAGGAGTCTAGCAGGACTCACGGAAAACAAAGAGCACTGGCAGTGTGGAGCTCAGGTCGCTCCGCAGCTGAAGTCGCGTGCAGGTTTCTGTCCTTGTGGTGTGTGGCCTGAATGCTGCCTGAAATCACTATCAGCTTAATGGTCTGCTTCAACCAGCCTCCTTCAGTGGATCAAATTCTGATGGTATCCAGTATCAATAGCTTCAGGAGGAACTGGAAGTCTTCCCCCTCTCCTGCATGCCCTTTCAACAGACAGCTGTGGACTGGCCTTTTCAGGGTGTATTGTACTTGCTCCCTGGTGGGACTAGGGGCTAATACTTCCAACTGTAGCTTTCTCTCTCTCTAGGTAATCTTTGGGGACATTTTTTCTAGTACCAGGCAGTTCAGATTCCCTTCAAGCATTGATGAAATATTTCAATAAAGAAAATAACCAGAAGTTGTGTATGAATTTGAAATAAGAGATGGTTACCCTTCATAATGCTTCAATTTTCCTGCCTTATGATCTGTGCAGTCCTAAACCTGCTCCCTCCTGTGTATCTGCACACCGTAGACAGCTCAGAGCATCCAGCCGTTGTAGTTGTGATTTCTTTGTGGCTCCTATAATTTATTCATCCCAAGATGCTCTCCTACATCTGCAATAACATTGTTTCAGTTTGTTATAGCACTAGCTTTAAAGTTTTATAAACCTGGTGACAAGTTGAAAGTTACAAAAGGATGGTTGCAGAAGGGTAGTGTAAGGAAGGAGGCCTCCAAGTGGAAGTGTCTGCGGGGCTGCCTGTGCTAAAGGAACCATGCCTGTGGGACTGGCAGTACCTTTTGCTGGGGAATGGGCCACAGTGCAGATAGGTTAGAGGCTGGTGCAGGGTACTTGGCAAAGCTGACCTTGATGCTTCGCCTCATTGCCTCCTGCTCTGTCCTCCTGTATCACTTGTTGCCACACTGCTCTCTTGTTCAGTGACTGCATGTGAACGGGCATACTG